AATGAACTGTAAAGCATACAAATAGACATCTCTTCCATCCTATCCCAATGTGCGCAGATGGAGAAATGTAGCGTAGAATCGGGAAATGGTAGAAAAAAGGAAAAGGATGGAGGAAAGACCCCTTACCCTGATTAGTATGACAACAGTGGATAGATGGATGTATGTGTATGCGTGTATGTGTGTGCATGTGAATGTATGTATGTGTATGTAAGTGGAAGTGGTAAAGGATTTGAACAATGCAATAATGGATTTTATGGTACAATTTTTCGGAAAAATTTTAAATCTGCAAAAAAAATTCATACAAAAGTTCTGAAAAGAATTTTAACAGAAAAAAAGGCGAGAGAAGTTTGGCGCCTTGAAGTCCAGGCCAAATTTTTGTCTCGACAAGAAGAAAATTAAATTTGTTACGAGGACATTGTGGGCGACACGAAGAAAAGGAAATTGAAGAAGTAGAAATGAGCAGAATATAGTGGCGCCACGGAGACGATGCGCTTATGGCCTTCCAGTCAAACCCACGGATCGAATATTTGAAGTGAGATACAGGAAATAGTTAGCGAACGAACTAACCATCGACCATATCAATTGAGTGTAGCGTGAGAGTTACATTTTCCGTTTCTGATGCTTTTTCATGTTGTTTTTCACACATCCGGTTAATAGAGCTTGACATCACTACAGTATCTCTCTCTAACTAATCTATTACAAACTTGAAGTAACGAAACTCAATGCTTGATACCATATAACTTGCCAATTACTTCTGCTATAGGTTAAATCGATGGTTCCGAATTTTAACTGAGTATAGAGCCAAGGAGTAATCAACCAATTAAATAATTACAGAAGGAAAAAAGAAAGCTACAAGAAAGACTTCAACGATAATGAAACTGAGACACGACATTTCAGTACTTCAGTTTTTGCATTCATAAATTTGACAGGAGAAATTGGTAAAACTGAAAATGTTCAGTATGAAAGTATATTTTGATTTGAAGTATTTTGGTACAAGAAGAAACTGGTAATTTTAGAATGATTCGATCACTTTAAACTTCATAAAAATATTTGATTTTTCGGTAAAAGATGATCAATGAAGGTTGCAATTACAGCAACAGTGATAGAAGTAAAATTAACTAATAAAAGTTATTAACATTTCTAAAAATTAAATTAAACTTTACAGTTCAAAGTTTTAATATATTTTTACGGTTATTTCAGTGTCGAATCAATCAATAAAATAGTAATAACTGAACTTTTATGATTCATTAATTTTACTCTTAACGGGAAATATAAAAAAAATTTTAAGAAAGGAAATTTTTTCGGAGGCCAATCAGATTAATTCTAATTAGTATCATTACTGTTGATGGCACTATCAAATGATATCATTATCGCTGTCATCATCATCATCTTCCTCATCATCCTTTTCACTAGGAATCATCTAATCAACGCTAATAATGCCATCAGGTGAGCATCAAAATGTCCGACAGCATTTCGTTACCCCATAGCATTGTTCGGATTCTCAGATTCTCGCTTCTTCTCTCTCCTCATTTCACGTTCACCTCCCTATAATATTACCACTACTGGTCTCGGTGCCGTTGCATTAACGAAAATGGGTATTTTATGAGTATTGCTTGCTGCCTGCCTCATATTTCCCATTCATTTTGATACCATTTCATTCTAATCCATTTCATTTCATATTATTTCCGACCAGTTCAGAAGCACATTTCTTCCGATGATCGGCACAACAGTATCACCTCCTTTCTTATTCCTATCAACCATTTCCTTATTCTTACTCCACTACCAACTGATCAAGCACTAGTAATATCGGAAGAATATTGTCTAAATACTATATGTATTCTGTACCATTAAGTATTACCTGTTCAGATGCATCACCTTTCAACAATCTCTCCTCACTACTAGTTCATATAAATTATCCAGAAAACTATAAAAC